AGATGTGAGGCGACAGCTTCCTTGTGGAGGGCTCTAATAGACGGGCGAACGCTGTAGCGGGGTTCAGGAGCGTGGAAACGGTAGTGATTAGGATGCCCGGATTGCGAAAAGGTCCACCAAAACTGCTGGCCTAAGAGCGTTTTGTGAGGGGCGACCGGCAGGACAAAGGCCTCCGCATGAAAATGATTGATAGGTGCCATTTTAAGGCAACCTGTGATTGAGCAGAGGATGGTGTTCTGTGCTGACTGAAGGTGGCGGAGGATGGAAGAGTTGGAGACAACATTGGTGGCGCATAAGCGGACTGTCGACGGTCTTGGCAAACACTTCTGTTTTCACAACCTTGTCGGTGGACTCTGCAATCGGCCAGACAGTATCTAGGTTTATCTTCCGTCTTTACTTTTGCTCATCAATGATTCTGATGTCTTGTCTTCTCCTCTTTTTTCCTCTCGTAGGCTCTCCGAAGGTCCTGCTATACGATATTTCTGTCCTCTTGCCTTCCTCCAAGTTCCTCGCAAATAACTATTCGTACGTTCGCCAGCTTAACAGTTCTCATACAATATCTGTGTTATCTAGTATTCTGTCTTTACTGTTTCTGCTGTGATACTTAGCCTCTAGGCATTTTATGTGCTCTTCCAATGAAAACGCTCAGCAAATCGTACTTAGAGTGTTAGGTGCTTGGGGTCTCGAAGCAATACGTTTCGTTTAAGCTTTCACATATCTGCCGCCATTTTCGATTGATCCTTCAGGTTCTTTGAAAGCCGGCCCCCTCTGGTGGGATGGCGATCGTGATCTAAGCTGCCTGCAACAAATACGATGTGCTTTGATGTTTTCGCTTAAAGCTATGGTCTGGAATGACTACAAACTGCCAATTAAAGCCTAGTGTGTGTGTTTGTGTGGGGTGACTGACTAATGAACTGACAATTAGCATCAATGGTACTCTCCCGAACGTAAGAGCCGAGTCTCTTGCAGTGACTTAAGGTAATGGGTGAAGACCTTTGCTGCTGCGATCTTCAGGCCTGGGTCCATGTGGGAAGAGAAGTGGGACGCCAGATGGAGGCAATAGTGTATTCTCTACAGAGCTAGTGCAGCATAGGTTGGAGGAAGTTGATTGTCGGACGAGCATACGCCTGCACCCGATGGGTGGGGCAGCGTCCGAGATGTGTGAACGCGGAAGTCGTCCCACTGGGGTCCCGTGTGAGTCAGCTTTGAAGGTGATTGGCCAGACCGGACTGAGGTAGGCGTACATGTGCTAGCAGCCGTGAGAGGTGAGCGTTGCATGGGAATTAGGGTCACTACAAGCCCGCCTTCCTATGAACGGCTGTTGCATTCTGCGGGGACCAAGTGGCGTGTGTGTGGCACTCGTAACCGCGCTACTTAACTCAGTCAGCCACTGCATTTGAGTTTTTGGTAGCTCCGTGCAACTGCGCGTGACTCATCCGGCCTTCGCTAGCCGAGTCTTTGTGTACTCATACTTTCCCGCACCTTCTTTGTCAATCGCTGCGAGAGGCCCGCGATGTCCTGCATTTCCTACAATGTCCCCGGCAGCGTATTGAAGGTTGCGTGTTCATATCACGTCGGGGTCACCAATTGTCGAAAGCTAGTTGCTGTATAGCCAATACAAGCGAACATATGAGTCCCAGGAAGTAATTAAGAAGAAGAAGACAACTCGATCGCTGAGACAATACTTTTATTCGCCTGACGTTTCGAAATCCGTCGCGGATTCATTCTCCAAGACATTAGCATAAAACGGTAGCAGATACCGGTAGTGAACGGTACAAAGGCTTTGTTACAAGCCAGCTGCGTCTGCACGCCAGGCGTGTCCGTGAAGTTGTGTAGCGTGATGAGTATTCTGCCGTCTGCAACCAATCAAATGAAGCGGGAGTATCGATTGACTTGAAGCTAATACGCTTATCAAGCAGCGAGTTGATCGATAGTGTGAGAAAGGCCGATAGCGCG